GCACTGCCACAGCGTGCTACGATGATTTTTGGAACAGTGTTGGCAGTACTGCCAGCGCTGACAAACAATTTTGGAACACAGCCGTAGCACTACACGTAGGCTGCTTTCCATTTGATGACACAAATCGACACAAATGTCGTTCTATCCTTCTTGATATTCAGAGAGTGACAAAGATAGAACGACACTTGTGTCGATTTGTGTCGACTGTGTCTCCTAAAAGGAAAGCAGCCGTAGTCGGTATGACAGATTTTCTAACCTCCATAGTCGTCAACTTTAACGCTAAATATCTCGATTCGCGAGGCAGAGCGACACTTTTTTTTGCCAGATTCTTTCGTTTCATGCAAAAACGCATCGAATGAGCCTAATTTTATTAAAATCGGTGAGGTCGCCCGTTTTCTCCATAATTACCACATTTTTACTGCTTTATTTATAAATAAATATTTAATATAATCGGTTTCGATAAAATTTAAATTTCGATAAAATTACATTCAAATGATGTGTTTTCGCGTAATAAAAATAAATACTTGAGAAGGAAAGAATAACCCTTGTCATCACACCGCAGCATGCGATGTGTTCAGGGGTGCGTTCCGTTTCTCGCATGATGCGCATAATGCATCGTTTATCCTTGTTGCTCACCAAACGTTAAACAAGGACAATGGATGCATCATGCACATCATGCGCGATACGGAACGCACCACAGATTCCTCACCGGGTGCCGGTGCCGCCGGTGGATGATCGCTGCGGCCTGTTCTACAATGGCTGTGTTCAGCAGACTCAACAGTTGAGTGAGCGCTCGCTACTATTGATGTATTCTTCTAGATCTAAAATCTGGTTAGACGATCTAAAAGAATACACCAATAACAGCGAGCGCTCACTCAACTGTTGAGTTTGCTGAACGCAGCCAATAAAATCGTAAGTGGTAAGTCCGGATCTACAATAGGTGTTTTATGCCTTATGCCGTAAGAAACTGACCAATTACAGTCGAATCCGAGAAGTATAAGCGACTGTGATTCGCCCATTTCTTATGGCTTAGGGCTTAAAACCCTATTGTAGATCCGGGGTAAGTGTGCCGTCACATGCGACGTAATCTGCGTATTTTAGTAATTTACTAGAAAACGTTATTTTTTATTTACTAGAATACGCCATTTTGAAAGCCCGCATTCACATTGAGCGTATTTTGCGTAAGATTAGAGAAATACGGAACTAATGCAACCAATTGCTGATTAGAATTTCTGTTGTACACTCTAACAGAAATGCTAAATGAATTTACGATTGGTTTTCGTAATCTACGTATCTCGAAAAGTACGCCTCATGGGGAACTGGTACCTTTCCATCGCGTATATATGAGCGGATGATCGAATAAATTATTAAAATCAGGAAATTTTGTGAAACCATTCTTAGGCTTATTCGACGCGTTTTTGCATGAAACGAGAGAATCTGGCAAAAAAAAAACGTCGTTCTGCCTTGTAATCTGAGATATTAAGCGTTAAAGTTGATGACTATTGAGGTTAGGAAATCTGTCACAGAGGCAAAATGAGGTCTATAATTGTACTGTTCCACATGGGTTTCGACTTTTCACGCGATGCAAAGGGGCGCACGACTTCTATAATTGTGCTATTGCAAAATCGAAACCCTTGTGCATTTTTTTCAGGCAGAACAAGCTAAAATGAGCCAGAAATTAGATTCGACGCATGGTGGTTCTATCATGTTTCGGCGTAACAACAAAATAGCGTAAAAAGCATAATGTGACTAGACAGAAAATGATGTTCAAGTGAAACGATATGATTGGTCGGCGCGAGTTACGCTTACGCAAGTTACGCTGCATGTGATGGCACCCTAAGCCGTAAGAAATTAACCAATCATAGTCGATTATTCTTCTCACATTTAATAGGCCTTTTACAATAAGCCATTAGTCATAAATCAGAAGGGGTGGCACCCAGTTGGACATGGCTCAATTGGACACGAGCCACTCACAGCGCTTGAGACTACAAAGCTCCTAAGCACCGGTCGCTGTGATTGGTGGTGTCCAATCGAAATGTGATCAATCGGGATTACCACAATCAGAAGTCAGAAGTTAAAAATTGACGATTGTGATTGGTCAATTTTTAGCTTCTGACTTCTGATTTATGACTAATGACTTGTTCTAGAAGGCCCATAACTGTGATTGGCCAATTTCTTACGGCTTACGACTTGCGACTCTATTGTAGAACAGGCATACGTGACTTCATAGAACTGTTCTTTTTGGCTGAAGGCGGTGACACAGACTTTTGCATAAGTCCGCAAACACAATAGATTTAGTAAGCCTTATACCTTAAGAAATTGATCAATCGCAGTCAAAGGTGAGAAGAATAATCGACAATGATTGGTCAGTTCCTTAAGGCTCAAGGCTTACTAAATCTATTGTGTTTGCGGACTAAAGCATAATGCATAAACGAATCAACTAATCAGAATCTTTCCTTTCCTCCCATTCCATGGGAAAAGAAGAATTTCGATTGGTTGATTCTCTTATGCGTAAGTCTGCAAACACAATAGAGTAGTAAACCTTAAGCCTTAAGAAATTGATCAATCACAGTTGAATGTGAGAAGAATAATCGACTATGATTAGTTAATTCCTTAGGCTTAAAACTTACTATTCTATTGTGTTTGCGGACTTATGCGTTATGCAAAAGCTTGTGTCTGGGTTCTGAACTTTTGCACCAGTTCATCTTTCTTCCTCTTTTTTCTTCCTGGAAAGAAAAGGAAAAATGGTAAACCGGTGT